CTTAAGTTAGCTTATTCTTAATAAAATGAAGGGTAAGATCACCTAAGTAAAAAAAAAAAAAAAAAAAAAAAAAAACAAACTTTTTATATAGATTTACAATAGAAAATTTAATTCGAATTGAAACAAAATTTTTTATAATTAAAGTTATTTAAAATTTTGTCAGATTGTTTTTTAGAAATATAGCTTTTATAAAAACATTTGAGATCAAGTATGATCAATTTTGCTACTAACTTTTACTAGAAGTAATTCCAACAATACTAGTATATAACACAAAGAAATTACATTAAATTTTTATTATTTTAAAATGAAATAGCTAATAAAAATCTATAGTTTTTTCAATTAAAATATTAGATATCAATCAGTTAATCAGTTTTACAAAAAAACTATAAGAGATTAATCTTTAGTTTTAACTAATAAAATTTTGTTATTTAGCTAATAAAAACTAACTTCTATTATACTGTAGTTGATAAAAAGTTTTGTTCTTATATATACGTATGTATATTTGTATTTGAAATATTTTTTACATTAGAACTAACTACACTAGAAGTATTAGTAAAAAGTTCACTTAAATCTAATTAATACTATTATTTAAACTTTTATAAAAATACTATTATAAAAAAAAAAACAGAAAAGAATCAAAGCTAAAGGAATTCAAAAGCATTTACTATTCAATGCTTACATGTACAAGAAGCAATTCTAAATATAAAATACTAGTAAAAAAAAAAAAACCTCTTGTTGCTCAAGAACCTAAAAACATGAAGATTCAGAAATCTGAAAATATCTAAAAACCTAAGTGCTCATTATTTAACAAGTGTCATACTACTACCAACTCATAAAAAAAAAAAAAACCAACTCTAAAAAATCAACAAATGCTCTAACTCTAAAAAAAAAAAAAAAGCCCTAATTCTAAAAAAAGCCTTTTTAATTAAACATATCATCAATTTCAAAGATTTCTGAAACAATAAAAGAATATTAAAGAATTATCAACTTTCTTCTGTTAAAAACTATATCTAATAATATCCAACAGTATTTAAAAAAAAAATTCAACTTTATTCGTCACTACAAAATTCTTGAAGTTAACAAAAATAATTTTTTATATCTTAAGCTAGTTGTTAATAATATATAGTCAAATCAGAAAAATGCTATATTATTTTCAAATATAATATAGAAATTTATACTTTAATTTTTACGTATTTTTATGACTAAATGAATTATCATGAATATAATAAGACTTTTTTGGTAATTTTAGAGAAACATGTCAGAATTATCTAAAAAAATTAAAAATATATATAAATGAATATCTAGCTTGTGTTATAACTACCTCTATTAAAGAAAAAACTAATATAATACCTGTAATATCAATAGTACCATAGTAGTATATTCAAATCTACTTAGTTGATTTTCATAATTTTGGTGAAATAAATAATAATTTTTTATAGTTGCTTATATGTATATACATATTTTCTAAGTTTCTTGTTGCTATCTCTATGAAAAATAAAGAAGCAAGTATAGTTGCAATATATCTTATTAAAGATATTTTTAAGATTTTTTAGCTGACTGTAATCTTTCAAAATGATAATGATAAAGAATTTGTTGCAGGAATCATTATCCAAATATATAGAACTCTAAATATTATGATTAGATATAGTCAGCCTTGTTACTTCAAGTTGCAAGATCAAATTGAATGACTTAACCAAACTATGGGCTGTGGCTTTATTAAGTTGCTTTAGAATAAAAATAGCTAACTACAAAAAAAAAACTAAATTAATATAATTAATGTATTAGTTATATTATATAATTTGACTATCCACAGAGCATATAGCTATATGCTATATAAAACAATTTTTGAATAGAAGATACATTGTATTTATGATATTTCTAATGTAGTTGGTTTGTATAATTTGTTTATTCTTAATACTATAACTAGAATTTGGTTCTGTATTTTTTAGAATTAGAGTACTTTAACTCGAAGTTAGTTTGTTTGTCATAGTTAAGTTTGAGTTTGAGTTAGAAATTAGTTTAGTTAGATAATAGAGTTATAGTACTTCTTTAGAATTACTAAATATATAAGTTGTCTTGTTATAGCAAATATACTTGATGAATATGTCTCTAAAACTACTAACACTGCCTTTGAAACTACTACTACTATCTTTGAAACTACTACCATCTCTGAAACTACTACTACTTCTGAAACTACTACTATCTCTGAAATTACTACTACCTCTAAAACTGCTATTATCTCTAAAACTACTACCTCTGAAATCACTACTACTACTGTATCTGAAACTACTATTACTCCTGAAGCTATCACTTCTGAAGCTGCTATAGAACAACATATTTTACAAATATTGAAAATTTAAAAATCTATAAATACTTTACTTGAAAAATATTGCACAAATATATACTGACAGAAGAGTGTCTATAAAAAAAAAAACAGTAAACAATATGATTAAAACCAGAACTGCAGTTGCTATTGCACCAAATTATAATATAAATTAACAAATACAAAAGAAAAAATTGCAATCTATCTATTCTTAGTAAGGTGTTTTTAAGTTGCTCATATCCAATAATCATACTGCAATTGTCAAATTAAATAGCAAGAATATATGAGTTCTTATTAAATAGGTCAAGTCTATATGAAAAAGATCATAATTTTGAGAGGTTATTCCTTTTTTTTTAGTTAGATTTTTTTTTTAGCTAGATTTTTTTTTTTTAAGATTTTTTTAACTAGTTTTTTTTTTTTTTTTTAAGTTTTTTTTTTTAAGATTTTTTTTTTTAGTTAGATTTTTTTTTCATTAGATTTTTTTCAATTTTTTTTTTTATTATCAGTTATAAAAAAATTTTTTTATTTTTAAGAAAGTTTTTTTATGTAAAAATTTTTTTATTTATACTTTTTTATAATAAAATAGTTCATGAAGTTAGTATACAATGTACAGATTGGAGTTTGGAGAATATAGGTAGTAATACTAACTTTTATGAAGAAAACTTTGTATTAATATGTAGTAAATATTTTATATATTAATTTTTGGGTTAAAAAGCATTGCACATTGAAATTTAATTGATAATAAAATTTTTTAGAATAGTATGTAGCCTAAAATTTTCTTAATCATTTAACTGTTTAATTTAGCTAGCATTAAGATAACTCTGATCTATGATCAACATAGTTCAGCTTAGCTTTATAAAAAATTTTTTATATAGTTAAGCAATTCCAATCACTAGTACCAACTAGGACCAAAAAATTTTTAGATTAGTTTTACTACAGCACTAGTGAATCAAATTTCTGCTAGATAGTATATGTTACATGAGATTCAGAAATTACAGAAATGACATCGCATATCACATGATACAATCTACATAGTCAAGTCTCGCAGATCTCACTATAATCTAATCTCACTATAATTCATGACATTATATAATACAGGTAAGAAAGAAAATTTATAACATATTAATTCAAGTAAATGAATTATATGCTATTCAATTTTGTCTTATCAAGACAAATTGAATATTACTAAGTTAATTCAATCTGATCACAAGATTACAAGATATTGATGCTCAAATGCTATGTAAAAAATATTATAATACAGATGCATTTGAGATATCTCAAGATCCAGTAATTAGAATCAAACAACCTTACTGCTATTCAATTCGTCTCATTGAGACAAATTGAATAGTTGCAAAGCTATTCAATTCTGATTGTCAGATCTCAAAATATTGCAAGTGTATTATAATTAGTACTGTATCATTTTTACTTATATAATATGTGTCTGCACATTCATATTTAGTTGAATAAACATGATTAGTTATTTTTAATTTGCTAATTAATAGACTATCATTATACTCACGATGTTAATTTATATTACTTTTTAATTTTTTTAATTTTTTTTTAAATAGATAATCATATGTAAAGAATGAACTTTTATAAAATTTAAGCTTCTGTCTGTTTAAAAATTATTACCAGGTTGCAAAATGGTTCATTTGAATAGCTCTGGTGTCCTGTTTGATTCTATTAGCCCAGTTAAGAAGCAGATTAATGACTTATAAAACTTTTTATTTATCACTTAAGATATAACAATTATAATTAATAGATAGTTCATATGCTCTTATATAATTAAACTCATTACCATCAGCTTTGCATATCAAACAATGTCATAGAAAATAAGAGCCAAACCCTTCTCTTCCAATTCTTTTAACATTATCTAGTTCATTTAATGTAATCCATTATCATACGTGAAGGCTCTAAGTTGAAATACTTTTATGCAATTATCGGGTATCCTTATTAATACTTTTATCTTTTGTTGCTCCACTTATAGACATCTTACTTCATCTTGTAATATTTATTACATTGTGCACATTTCCGCATTTAAGTTCCCTTTGTAATCATAGAATATATATTTTTTCACCTTTGTCATACAGATTTTTTACACTTTAAATAACTTT